CTTCAGTTCTGATTCTGCCTGTTTCTGATCATGTCTTTGGGAAATTCTGGACAGATAACTGTATTTTAATATTTTATCTTTTAGTTTTAAAACAAAGGTTTCTGCCCAGTGTAGTGGTGCACGCCTTTAATATCAGCACTCAGGAGGCAATGGCAGGCAGATCTGTGTGTTCAAGGCCAGGCAAGGCTATACAGAGTTCCAGGACATCCAGGGCTACACAGTGTCTTAGTGTCTACTATTCCTATGAGGAGACACCATGACCAATGCAACTTTTTTGTTGTTTTGTTTTTTTTGGGTTTCTCTGTGTAGCTTTGGAGCCTTTCCTGGATCTCACTCTGTAGACCAGCCTGGCCTCGAACTCACAGAGACCCACCTGCCTCTGCCTCCCGAGTGCTGGGATTAAAGGTGTGCGCCACCACTGCCCAGCTTGACCAGGCACCTCTTCCGACAGAGAGTGAGACCCAGATTAAAGGAGTCCCCTCCAGCCTCCAGGTCTGGATTAAAGTGTGTGTCATCGGCCTCCTCCAACAAGACCACACATTCTCCAAGAAGGCCACATCTCCTAATAGTGCCACTCCCTGTGAGTTTATGGGGACCAAATATATTCACACTACCACACAGAGAAACCCCATCTCAAGGGGGAAAAAAATTTTTTTTTCTAAATCTTATGTGTCTGAACGTTTTACCTGCATGTTAAGTATGTGTACCACATGCGTACCTGTGAAGGCCAGAAAAGGGTCTCAGATTCCCCCGGGGACTACAGTTAAGAGTTGTGGGTGGCCATACAGATGCTGGGACTACACCAGTCCTCTGGAAGAGCAGCCAGTTCCTAATGGCTGAGCCATCCCTTCCAGACCCATTATATATCTACGCAACCAAAGAGGAAAATAACCCAGGGTGGTTCTATGCTTCTGAATCCCGCATTTGAGGCACAAACAGTTCAGAGGCGGGCACCTTTAGCTGCAGTGAGTTCAAAGCCAGCCTGGGTGACATAGGACCCTGTCTCAAACAGATGAAGAACAAGTGGGCAGGACCAGCTCAGTTGTTAACTGTTCCTTCACAGGACCCGATTTCAGTTCCCAGCACCCACATGGCAACTCACAACCATGTAAGTCCAGTTCCAGGGGATCTGATGTCCTCTTCAGGCTTCCATAGACACTGCATGGAAGCAAAACATATACATGCATCAAAACACCCCCCCCCCACACACACACACAAACTTTTTTCAATAGGTATGCGAGGTGGTGCACACCTTTAAAATTGGCACTGGGGAGGCAGAAGCATATGGATCTCCGTTTGAAGTCAGCCTGGTTGACATAGTGAAACCCTGTCTCAAAGGATAACTTTAAAAGTAATGTACCCTGTGCCTTTCCGTTGTTCTTTTGGAGCTGGAGATCCGAACTCTACACACAGTTACAACTCCAACCCTGCCCTGCTGCGCTAGCCCTGGATTCCAGTGTCTGCACACCACGCCCACCATTCCTGAGGTGGTATTATTCCTTAGCTGTATTACTTCCTCTCCTGTTGATAAATTTGTAAATAAACCCGTTAGGGCCCAACCCAACGACCATACTGAACGGGACCGTTTCTCCCTGGCAGATCGGTTAAGTGTGGTAGTGTTGTGTGTGGTTTGGATTTCTGTGCTATCATGTATCATGAATGCATTTCTAAAGCACAGTGACATTCTGCTCCTTTACTCAAGGAAGTAACTTGGCTGAACCCCAGGGAATTTCCCAAAATTGTTAGCACTGCTTTGCTTAGGGATATGCTTACATATCCCTAAAGAGCCTCACCTCTTCACGGGGCTATCCAACCTGTTTTGACCTAGTATTGAGATATTCCAAGGACCACAGAAATTGATGTAAATGGAAAAACAAGGAACTTCACAGCCCCTTATCTATGCATCTAATCAGTAGGCAATGGTTCACTTAGGACTTAAGCTGTGATGTGTGCAGGTTTGCAGGAATGTTAATACTGGCATGTTTGACGGAGGACAAAAAGCCATGAGGCTCTTCTCAGGTACACTGGCTCAAACCTGGATTTGGGCTTGGCCACATTCTGCAAGCCAAAGACTGGTATTTTCCCGTGTGGTTCGACACTACACCACCTGAGCTATACTCGATTCCCTAAGCACCAAGGCAACTGTCTAAACCGCATGTTCCTCTTCATCCCTTACCTTTCGCCCCGTAGTGTTCGTACTTTCCTCTTCCAAATTTCATTTTCTCAGAAGGTGGGGGTGGTGGTGATACAGGGTTTCTGTGCAGCCCTGGTTGTCCCAGAACTCAGTATGTAGACCTGGCTGGCCTCAAACGATCCCTCTGCCTCCCAGTGCTAGAATTAAAAGGTGTGCTCCACTAGTGAATTTGTGCCCAAATTTCACTCTAAACAAAGCATACACATGTGGATGCACTTTACGGTAGTTTGGAAGCTGAATGCTAGACAAGACAGTTTGATACCGGCCAAATTCAACCCAGAAGCTAGTTAACGAAATTCAGCATGCCAGTGAGTCTCTCACACATCTAGGCCAGAAATGACTTGCAGGAGTGGTGGGTCCTGGGGATCAAATTTAAAAAAAAAAAAAGGATGGCATTTTTAAATTACAAAAAATCCACTAGGTGTGGTGACACCTATCAGTAATCCCAGCACTTGGGAAGCAGAGGTGGGGATCCAATCTTCTGCTATATAGAGAGCTCCAGGCAAGCCTGGGCTACGAGAACACTCCTTTAAACACAGTACCAAAACCTATATATTTTCATCTTTTTATTCTATTGTGCTGTAACTGTCAAGCTTGAAAGTAATTCTCCTACCTTTCCAAAACTGTTTATACAAGTTTTATATTGCATTACTTAAGTAATTTCCACTCACTTTCATCAGCTTAAAATTTAAGAGCCAAACCACAGTTCCAGGGGATACTTGCTTGGACACTGAACAGAACTCATTAATCCTCCAATTTAAGAGTTTTTTGTTCCATTTCTTGATGTTAAGATCTGAAGCTGGTTAAGCAAGGCAAACTGTTCCCATTCTTAACATCTTTAAAAGGGTAGCTGTCACGACACACCCACTAAAGCTACAAAGAAGTTCCTTGAGGCAGAGTTCACTTTTAAATGGATGGCTTACTAACAACAGATGTCCACAATGGCGGTTCTAAAGCACCAGCACCAACTTCCTTCCATCTGAGTCAGTGACTTGTTCCTAAGTCAGAAATCAAGATCTCTACAGCCGGAGGTCCACTACAGGCTTAGAACTGACGTGCGATCTCTGAAACCAACCCTTCACCTAAGAGTCATTTTAAATTAATCTTGTTAACTCACCACTTTAACATCTTGGAAGATTATGGTCTCTATCCATATTTGGGACGTTTGACAAAAACCTTTGCCCTATTTATATCATTTAAATTTTATTACTGTTGTGTCCATGAGTGCAGGTGAGCACGTGGTCAGAACCGGGAGCTGGTTCCCTCCTTCCTCTGGAGGTGTCGCAGTCTTACTGGCACGGTCTAAGTGTTTTTAATGGGAAAATGCCTTGAGTTGTTGACTGCCAGGCACCAGCAGCGTGACAAAAGGCTTAAAGTTCTTAAGTGAAAGTCATATTTAATATTTAAAACCTCTGCAATTATTAGTTTATTAGTATCATCCAGGACTCATGTTCAGTATTCCTCCTCAAATTACATAAACAAACGCAAATGTAAAGAACCCAAGTCAAAATTATGTAACAAACAGCACTCCATCACAAAAGCGCATAAAATTACAAGAACGCTATTTTAAAACACTGGCACTTTAAGAGACTGATAATCTCAAAAAACCACAAAATTGCCAAATTGTTCCCTAACTGCTAAGATTAAACATGACTAATGAATGAGTTTGGGTTTTATAAAGAAAAACCAAATGGATTGGACAACTGGTACTAATGTGCAAAGTTTATCGTCTTCTCTTGTGTCTGATTTATCAAGGAACAAATCACAATATAGGAAAATATACCCTTACTTTAATTTTAAATGTGGCATAATTTTAAGAAAAGCTGGCTCAACTAATTAAAAATACTTTTGAACAGTCAAGTTTCCTGAGCAATCCTTAGATAGATGGGCAAAGGCATGAATTACAGCCAGCATTCTCGTCAGAACTCATGTCAACACAAGTTTAACATGGCAGCCTTGTATTTTAAGCTCACGCTTTTGGGGATACATTCTCAGGTCTTAAACAGGGAACTGCAGAATGTCACTGCCATTACACAGTAATGGAAGTTAAGAGTCCTTGTGATTAGAATAGAACATACTCTTCTATTAGTCCTTCAAGGACAGACTTTCAGATGGTTTGATTCTAATAATCCCACACCGTGTGATAGAATCGATCTTCGAGCATTCTCAGCTTTGCATGTAGGTCATGTACTATCTCTTATCCAACTGATCACGACTTTGGAGTTTCAACTATGGATGAAAATGTTACCCCCATCACAATATGCAGGGTGTGTAGATAAAAGCTTTTTTTATCCAGCTAACTATATGAAAAGAAAACACTGCAATAATTCATGTGACCCAAAATGGGCAAAAGCAAAAGACTAGCTTCCCCTTGAGAAGAAAAATTTCAGACCTATGAAAAGGACAACAATACTAATAAAAAAAATTGTATTTACTTAGAAGCATT